ATAGAATGTTTTGGGTGGGAAGGGACCCCTCGAGGTCACCCAGCCCAACCCCCTGCAGGGAGCAGGGACACCTTGAACCACATCAGGTTGCTCACAGCCCCGGCCAACCTGGCCTGGAATGTTCCCAGGGATGGGGCCTCCACCCCCTCTCAGGGCAACCCCTGCCAGGGTTTCACCACCCTCAGGGTAAAGAATTTCTTCCTTAGAACCAGTCTAAACCTACCCTGAAGAGGAGTTGTGCTCCACTTCGTGTACCGGCACGATCTGGTGTCAAGGCAATCTAAGCTTGGCATTTCAGATGATCTCTACTTAAAGCTAAACCTCTTGCAAACCGCTGTGTTTTCAGAACTATTCAACCTAGGTAATAGTTTTGAGGATGGGATATTTTAACAGTTTTATTGTCGGCGTTTGGTTTGTAAGATGAGCTTGTTATAGCCCTGTAATTTCAGTAAGTGCTGGCACCGTGCAAACACAGAAATGTTATTTAAGAGCAGAACTGGGGCTACATATTAATAGTGGAGCTTATATTACCGATGCCTAAATTTTAAGGGCAAATTAGGGTTTGCAGTTGATAAGAGGCTCCCTGCTCAAAGCAGGTCAGCCCCAAGATCAGCCTGGTCACCCTGGGCTTTATGTGAAGAGCTGTACAGCGATGTCTTCTGACTAAATCCATTGCTTTGCTCCATGCTACCATGATTTTGCAGGATCGTGCCCCTGCTAGTACCAGCCTAGAGCCCAGCCTTTATGGGTTCCCTCATTTATTGGAGCGTGTGAAGGTCTGGAGAATTGGAACAGGCTGCCCAGGGAAGGGGTTGAGTCCCCATCCCTCGGGGGGATTTAAAAGCCGATGTGCTGAGGGCCAGGGTTTGGGGGTGGGATGGCAGGGGTAGGGGAACGGTTGGGCTGGGGAATCCGAAAGGGCTTTTCCAACCTCAATGATTCTGTGATTCTATGACCGCCCCTAATGCTTCATCTCAGCCATCGTCCGTGATCCCTCGGGCAGCTAAACTAGAATGAATCGTGTGTAAAGGAGTTTGAACAGCTAGGATAAACAGGTACACGTGCCTGATACCTGCAAACGGTGGAAGCAGCAGCTAGGAGAGGGATTTTGAAGGCTAATTGCTTGCTAAAAGAAAGCACCAACTCAATTTGTAGTTTAATAGCTTCAAGCTGGTGCCTACAGAGCTGGGACAGAAGCACACCCAGCGAGCTAGTGCCTCACGTGAAAGCCACTTTAAGCTCACGACCAGCGTGTTTATGAGATGGCTTTGGTCGTGTTGGGTTGTGCGTTGGTGATCGCCTGCAGGTTTTTTTTGACGGCTCCTCTAACGGCAGTCCTGAGCTTGAACTGGCCGTGGATGATCAGATTTGCTTCTACCACAAGGTGAATGTACCTCCTGCCTGCGTTAGGTATTTGCACTTGTTATTTCCCAGAAATTCAATTTGAAGATGAAGTCCATCCTCTGAGCCAAAGGCATGGAGGTGTAGCCTAGATGGGACAACCTTTTTCAGTATTCCATGGATTCACGCTGCTAAATCTGCAGTGGTCTTCCCGCGGTGTATTTTCCATGGGTTTTATCATCCATTTTGTTATTTTTATCTGGAATTTCTGGGGCAGTGCTGTTACCGGCATCCCCCGGAGCTGTGCCCGGGGCTGGGTCGGCCGGGGTGCGGCGGTGGGTGACGTGGGAGCGGGGCTTTCACGCCGTCCTTTTCTGTCTTTGCAGTGCAAGTTCCTGGGCCGGTGGAAAACCTGCGGGCCGTGTCTACCTCACCTACCTCAATTCTTGTCTCCTGGGATCCCCCTGCCTATGCAAATGGCCCCGTTCAAGGCTACCGGCTCTTTTGTACGGAGACAGCGACTGGAAGAGAGCAGGTGAGTGGTGACCAGAGCGGCTCTGCTCTCCCAGTAAAAAGGAGATCTTTGGTGTAGGCATCTGCAGGTCTTTAGAGCACTGCAAAGGCTCCAAGCGAGAGGTTTCGTGGATTAATCCTCCAGGATTTGCCTCCAGGTTAGGCAAAAGCTGCACAGCCCGGTGATAAAAGAGCAAATCAAGCAAAATAAATTTTCCCCAGGACAAAATCATAGAATCAGAGAATGTTTTGGGTTGGAAGGGACCCCCAGAGGTCATCTAGTCCAACCCCCCTGCAGGAGCAGGGACACCTTGAACCACATCAGGTTGCTCACAGCCCCGGCCAACCTGGCCTGGAATGTTCCCAGGGATGGGGCCTCCAC